TGGCAGGAACCTGCCAGTGGCCATCAGAACAATCACACATTCTTCCATGTGAAAAAGGCAGCCAGGACATACTTTGAAAATTTGATATGATTGGTCATATGTCTGGATCCTCTGGATTTAGACATCTGAAGAAAAAACTCTCTAAAAAGTGTTTCTAGAAAGTAAAGAGAATTAGATCTTTAAATGCAGCGAAAGTGAAGAGAAAGTAAAGTAAGAAATGGAAACTATTAACCAGCACATGTAATACATACATACAAAACTTTATGATCTATAGCAAATACATGTTCTTTTTTATTATGAAAACATTTGTCAATATCATATTACCATAAAGAAAACCTTAAGAAATCCTAATGCATACAAACCTTAGAGCAACCCAAACCCAAGTTTACACATTATTTACAAAAGTATGTAGCTTCGTTGTGGATACTTTGATTATTAAACAAGAAAAATATAAAAAAATAAAATAAATTAAATATTTAACTTATGAAACTAAAGATAATACCAAAATAATCCAAGTAAAAGTATCAGATAACTAATGATGATAAAAGCTGAATTTAATGAATTAGAAAACAAAGTGCAATAAATAACCAAAAACTTCTTCAGAGCATCAACACTATCTCCTCTTCCCTGAAAGTCTGATAAAGAAGAGACAAGAAGAAAGAGAACAACTTTAAAAGAAAACAGAAGCTATAAATATAAATGTTAAGAGTTTAGAAAAGCTAGAAGAAATATTACGCAAATTAAACCTGTGAAATAAATGTAATGAAGAGAAAGTGAGTTGGAATTAGTACCAACTCAAAATTTTATAATATTTATAAAGTATAATTGTCATGTTGATTATTGTGGCTGTGGTGTAACAGGAAGAAAATGATATTTGCAGTCTTAATGTTTGTGTAATCTGGAGAAAACTCTTTCCAGGCTCTGTTTGCTCTTTTATGCTATCTTACGGAGTTATGGTGAGAACTCAGAGTCACTCACTATTTGACAGTACTTGAAAGCAGGGCTTTAGGTTGACCTGCAGGGTTGGAAAGCTGGCTGTGGTCCTTGCTTGCTATGTCATTTTCGGGAATTTCTCTCCTGCTTACCCTGCCTACCTTTCTCCACTGCATTTCTTTTCTTCCCTTTTCATGCAAATTTTGACAGAAAATAACATTCATATGTGTTAAAACCCAATAAATTCATTATAGAATTTCTGTGACATATCTTTGTCTTAACTTTATCATATATCTGCCTAGTTCCCCCTGTGACCCCCACCCCTGTGAGATGCACTCATAGGTACCCATCTTAATTAGTTTCTTTTTTTTTTCTTGAGACAGACTTTTGCTCTTTCTTTCCAGGCTGGAATGCAATTGCACAGTCTTGGCTCACCGCAACCTCCACCTACCGGGTTCAAGCTATTCTCCTGCCCCAGCTTCCCAAGTAACTGGGATTACAGGCATGCACCACCAAGCCCAGCTAATTTTGTATTTTTAGTAGTGATGGAGTTTCTCCATGTTGGTCAGGCTGGTCTCAAACTTCTGACCTCCGGTGATCCGCCCAACTTGGCCTCCCGAAGTGCTGGGATTACAGGCGTGAGCCACTGCACCTGGCTTCTTAGTTTCTTATGTGTATCCCAGACTTATGAAATTCAAGACAAAAAATGGAAACTTACATTTCATGGAAAAGGTGGCATTTTACATACGTTTTACTGCACTTTTCTTTTTTTACTTAAAAATTTATCCTGAAGACCATTCTCTATGTGCACGTAGAAGGCTCCATTATTGTTTTTATTTTTTCCAGCGGTATGGTATGCCTATAAGGATATGCTATAATTTATTTAACCTATTTATGAACACAATACTGTTCCTAGTCTTTTCTATTACAAACATCAGGGAGGTAAATGGCCTTATACATAAGTAATTTTACATATTTGCAAGTATCCATAGGAAAATATCTTAGAAGTGGGATTTTTGAGTTAAAGTGTTTATTCGTTTGTACTTGGCAGATGTGGTACGTTTTCTACCTTCTCTTAGCTGTAGTTTCCTCATTTATAATTTAGGGATAATGATAAACATACCTCATGAAGTGGTTTTGAGGATCTAATGATGTATCATGTAAAGCACTTAGCATTAAACAAATTTTAACTTCTATTAACATCACTATTAGATTATATAATGTCATGAATTACAAAGTGCTAAGCATAGCACTTTAAATATAGAATATTAATGTTATCAAATTCTGTAAGTGCTAACTTGGGGATAGCACATGCAATCATATTTTAATAACTCACCTAATAAGCAGGTAGGAGTTCTTTGCAGTTAGCATATTCATATGTTAGTTTTGCTATTAATTTGTTAAAATGTTCTTTTCCTTTACAATATGTTAAACACTTTCCCAATTATCCAAATTATGACAAATCGAGTAACAGTTAACTGCTCGAATGGCAAGTTACCCTTCTCTATTAAAATAACTTAAGCAGCATTTCAGCTAAAACAGCCCAAGTTGAAAGTTGTCCAACAGTGTTAAAGGAAAGAATTTAACTCAATATGTTATGGATAATTTTTTTTTGTTTTGAGATGGAGTCTTGCTCTGTGGCCTAGGTTGGGGTACAGTGGCGCAATCTCAGCTCACTGCAACCACCGTCTCCTGGGTTCTAGCGATTCTCTTGCCTCAGCCTGCTGAACAGCTGTGACTACAGGCGCGTGCCACCATGCCTGGCTAATTTTTGTATTTTTAGTAGAGATGGGGTTCCACAGTGTCAGCCAGGATGGTCATGATCTCCAGACCTCGTGATTCACCCACCTCAGCCTCCCAAAGTGCTAGAATTACAGGCGTGAGCCACTGTGCCCAGCCATTGGACAATTTTTACAGGCATTCGAGGGGTTGGAAGAAGTGTACCCTATTCTAAAGAAGATAAATATTCCAACTGGCAAAAAATCCCAACTCAAAGAATTTAACTCACTCATAACTAAGATTTCCATGAAATATTTGGAAAATTGCTATAATTAATATGAGCTGTACACCTTACACATTTTAACATATTTATTATGTAGGAAGTTTCTATTTTATATTCATTATTGTTATATACACTCAAAGATTAATATTTTCCCTTTGCTATTTATATGCAGGATAATTTTAGGGGCCAGAAGTTAAACAAAATCACATAAAATCAAAATAATATATGTCTAGCTGTAATTAGCACCTTACAAAACTTTCAATTTGGAGATTGAATTTGAATGTCATAAAAAGAAATTATGGCATTCTGAAATATACTAGACCAGGACTTAAGAGTTCTCTTTGATATTCAGCTCTGATGGCAAAGAAAGGAAATAAACAGTATTGGTAGGGTATGAGGACATCTTTTGGAGCTCAAGGGTAAGAATTACAGTTGGTTTTCACGAGAGACAGTAAATTGTTTAGTTAGTTAATAGCTCTGTTCTACAGATTTGGTGGGTCCTGCTCTCTGCTGCCTTAACCAGCTTTTTTTAATCTAATGGGTTTTGACTGGATTGTACTTTGATATAATTGCTGCTTCTAAAAGGGTAACTTCCTGATTACCTTGAGCTTCTTCTAAAATTTCCAGGAAAAAACTTTTAAAAATTCAGGACAAAACAGAATTATATAATGAAAAGAATATTGGACCAGACAGTAGTCAGTAATCCAGAATTCTAGCCTATCTCAACCATGCTCTTGCTGTGTGAGTAGGAAGAAACCATGTAAGTACTCTCTTAGTCTTTTTGGTTCTGCCACATTTACAAGAACATTCATTCCCCAAATCTATCTCAAATATGCCTGTGCTCTCTCTTCCTAGTAGTGGAACCTTAGATTTGCGTATTGCAATTGCAGCTCATTTCCTCTCTCTAGCCTGAGCTCACTGCTGGAACAGTGTAGTCAGTAGACAGAAGAATAAAATTCAAGCATGCATGCATTTTTTAATCCAAATAATAAGCTTTATGATGATACCTCGGATAGAAATGTCTAATATAACAGGAGGAAGATGGTAGGTAGTGAGTTGGAGCATTCACTGTTACACATATTGAAGTCAAATTTCTTATGTAAAACCTAGTTGACTTTTCTAAGACTCAGCCAGGAGGTCTTGGCTACAGCTATAGATTTGGAAATCAACAGAATGAAAGTGGTGGTAAATCCACAGGAGTGAATCAAATATCCAGGGAAAGTATATACTGAGAGGAGAAAATTCAAGCAAATAATATGATAAGTGTGTTATATATCCCATCTCCTCCCTGCCCCACCGGGACCCCCTCAAAAAGCTTCAGTCAAACAAACAAAAACAGAGCGTGGGGCAATTATTTCCATGCAGTTAGTTTATTTTGGAAAGTGTTCTCAAAGAACAAGAGTATGGCATTGTTGGAGTGGAAGGAAAGGAGGAAAAGCTAAGTAAAGGTGATTGTCAAGCTGTTCACTGTTGTGAGCAACTGGGGTGGATTCCTTAGAGATCCACAGAGGAGCCATGAGAAATGCACCCCAGAGGGGAGGTTTATCTTCCCAGCAGCTTCTGTCCCCCACTGGATAAGGATGGCCCTGTGGGGTGTCAACTCCCTCATACTTTCAGGTTTTCTAAAGTCAGAATGACTCTGTAAGTTTCCTGCAGGCATCCTATACAATGATGGCAGAGGAGCCCTGGACTTCTCTTTCATTTGTCCATTCATTCTCTTCATTGTTTTTCATTGAATATACACTTATTTTAAATGTCTGGCCAGACACTAGGAAGTGGTTAAAGTTTTCTTTGATATCCAATAAGGATGGGTCAACACAGGCATGGAGAAATCAAGAGGAGGTGGAAGAGGCAGAGAACATCACATCTGGCAGCCATTAACCCAACTTTTATAGCCACACATACCCTGAATTTCCTTTCCATTTAACCATCCACTCTTAATTACTTTCAGTTATTCCTGTTGAGGTCGGAGGAGGGGGTTGGAGGGGTGAATTTTAAAAGGGTTTTGGCTATTACCAGCTGTTTTTTAGGAGTGATTAACAAGTCTCTTCCATTTTTGTTACAGTTTGCCTCTGTGTTCCCTGGACACCACCATTCCAGTGCAAGATTTCCAGGGTTGAATTCATGTAAGTAAAATGAATATTTGGTGCAACTCACCAGAGTAGCTATTATTTATTGGCCTTTTGCTATGTGTCAGGCTATAGCTACTCTTGCTGAAAGTGTCTTACTTGGAACATTTCATTTACTTTTTTACAGTAAACCCATGAAGAAGGTCAATTTGCTGAACCTGCCCACAGCCTCTGTAAGGATATGCAGGATAAACTTCATGCTCAACCCTTCACCATGAAAGATTTGACCAAGGTCCAGGTTATCTGTTCCAGTAATTGAACTAGGGGAATTAGAGGCAATTGTCTTAGGAGGAGAGCCAGGGCAGCAGAGCCCGTGGATTCAGGTCAGTGGCTGGTGGCCAGGTCAGGCCATTTTTAAGAAAGGGCTGGTGGGTGAGAGATAGAGGAGACCAAGAAGCAGAAATGGGAGGGCCACCCTGAGAGATGGAGGGAGATTCTTCTATTACTGAGAATCTTCATGTCTTTAAAACCTGCATTCCCCTATGGCTTTTGTGTTTCAAATGGTTCTTTTGCATACATTCCATCTTTCACTGGAGCTAGCTTGAGAGACATTCTGTTCTTTCTAGCCTTGATTAGAACCCAAGCCTGTACTATTGGAACTCCTATAGCATTCATAAATGTTTAATCTATATTGTCAGCAGAGAGATAGCTTTGTCTAATGGGAAAGGCTAATAGAGATAAGGTGATGCGCTTTAGTTACACTGCTACCATTTCCTTACCACGTGTCTTTGGGCAAAAACACCCTTTTGGCTCTCAGTTTCCTGATCTGTAAAGCAGGGATAATATTGCTTGCCATATCTCTTTCATGGAAAGAGGATACATAAAAATAATACGAACTAAAGTGACTTAAAAGTTTACAAAACAATATATAAATGCAAATCATCATTATTATATTTGGCGAAAATAAAAACATATTAATCTTACAGCCTTTCACACTAGTAACAGTTCTAAGAACTGATCTAGCACTTCAGTTTCAGCAAAAGTTCTCAGAAGTGCTCTGACTGGCATGGGACCAAGGGGTCACATGCAGGTTTGTAAATTTTTGCCACCTTATGCCTTTTCTCTCCAACAAGATGTTAAGGTCACCAAGGGTGGAAACTATAGGTATGTGTGTTTGTTTCCTTCTCGGAATCAAGCACAATGTAGATGCTTATAAATATGTGTTGGCGGAATATTTGGATAAAAAGAAAGATGGGTAGGTATTATCGTAGGAAATTTTATCATCCGTGGAAATTCAAGGTGAATTTAATTTCTCTGGTTATTATTCTTATTCTAAGGAAACAGTAGAAAAAATAGTCTGAGTAGGTGTACCTGCCGTATGCATGCATATGTATTTCATAGATGCTTTTTCACTGAAGCAATGCAAATAAAATCAGTGTTACTAATCCTTCCAGCTGGTTGAGAGATTATTTTAAAGTCTGAACATTCATATGTTCTCTGGTATGAATATTTTTAGGATATCCTGCACAAGACTGCTCAGTAGAAAAAATTTTCAAGAGCCTTCTTGGGCAGAAGGTGTTCACTTTATCAAGATTTCAATATTTGGAAAATTATAAATGTAATGTTATATGAGTCAAGCAAACAGAAATCTTAATACAAAAGTGCCCCAAATCTTCATCTGTCCCTCAGTGAAAATGGATAAATTGTGCAGACATGAGTTTTCTGTCACTAGAGTTGTTTGAGCTGTGGCTGAACAATTATCTAGCAGAGATAGTTAATGCGTGGGGGAGGAGCAGTAGGTGGTCTTGATTCCTATCGAAGGTCATGACCATCTCAGATTCTGCAATCAGATCGCATTTACTAGAGACTTACTATAATACTTGTTGGAAATAATGCTGAGCCTGGAAGAAGTCTGTAATCTAGAACAGAGTCAGCAAACTACAGTTATGGGTCCCATCTGGCCTCTCACCTGATTTTGCAAATGAAGTTTTATTAGAATGCAGCCGTGCCCATTCATTTAGTTATTGTCTAGGGCTGCTTTTGCTCTACAGCAGCAGAATTGATTAGTTATGACAGAGGCATTTGATCTGCAAAGCCTGAAATATTTACTATCTGGCCCTTTATAGAAAAAGTTTGCCAATTTCTATAAGAAGTAGATGGCAAAGTTTACTGTATACGTTTCAGAGAGTGCATCCTTATCTACTGGGGTGATAAGGTGGATTTGAACCTCTGTATATATTTATTTCTATTACATTTATTTATAATAAAATTTATTTTTAACTTTAACCAATTCTATGCACTAATTTCTTCATCTCTAGGGTGGTGATATTATGATACTTGATCTTAGCCAAAAAGCACAGAAGCAGTGATAGAGTGGTGATGTTATTAATATTCACTTCACTGAGTGGTTGTGAAGATTAAAAGTGAATATTTGGCATACCGTGAACCTGAACTCCTAACCATTACATGGAACTGTACTGGAACAATATAGAAGGAGATGGGAGTGGATGAGGGCCAGGGATGTCAAGGAAGTTTTGTCATGGAGGGTGTGACTAGAATCACATTTTTGAAGAGAGAGTGAGCACTGAGATGGTAGTGAAAATACTGTTATCACAGTTACAGGGAGGCCGGCTAAGCTGATCTCTGATCTTCCCAGCAAGGAAGTCCTCACCCATTACCCAACACCTCTGCCATGTTTAAAAAGGCCAGAGAGAATTTTGCCTGCTAATTATTCACTTGACCCAGAGAAGTAAGTCCTCTCTAATTTCAATCTGTGCTTTCTATTACTAAGATAAACTAGTAATGATTTGCCAATAAGATGCAATTACAGTGCCTGCTGAGGTCAATATTCAATCAGTGGTTCCATTCTGAGTGCTGCTTTGATCAGTTGGTCAAAAAATTTTCTTTCTTTAGATGCTTTGTAAACTATGATTGATTGAGAGGTTTAGGGGTTTCAGATTGGAATGTGGTTTCATTTTTAATCCAACTTGTGAGCCGCACTTCAAACTCTGGTCAAATGTGATAGTCTCCCTTGGGAAGCTCCCGCCCACCCTGAGACCAGAGTGGGCACTTCTTCCTATCCCTCCCACCATCTCCTCCTCCTCCTCCAATACAGGCCAGACTCTAAAGAATAGCAAATAAAGTAGACTGTTCTGAAGGTTTTATAGAAAGATCAGCAAGTCATGTTGATCACTCTCCAGCAAAAGCAACATTTTCTTGTTTTTCAATTATTTTTTAGTTTCTCCTTATCTGCTTCGTTGCCTTTTTCTCCTTTCTCTTTTCCCCATACAGCCTTTCAGACTTTTCTGTATACGTTAGAATGATTAAATGTCTTCTTCACTTTGGAAATCTTACTCTGAATAACAAAGTCCTTGTAGATTACTGAACAAGGCCATTGACTGTTCCTCAGACATGCCTTTGGAAGCACCAGCCGAGATCACCACACCAGGAAATCTGCTGGTTTATAGGAATATAGCAAAATTTGAATAAGAATAAATCCAAGTAAAATTTTGGTACTTCATCCCAGAAATCCAAAATAATGGTACCTCATTGCATCTTGATGTTCTACTGGGTCATAATTAAAGTAGAATGCCTGATAGTTTGTGGGCTCCCCTTTCTCTCTCTCCTTCCTCTGATATCCCTAACTTATCTGAAAGTCTAATTATAGTTCAAGGGTAGAATTTCATCTTTGTTTTGATATGAAGTCACATTTACTTAGAATTTATAATCAGAGGCTTCAAGTAGCTGGTGGTAGCTCTTCTGTGTAGCTAAGATTGTATTACTTTATGTATGAAATTTAAATCTTTAATCCTTCTGGATTTTACTTTGGTAATGTGGCAACATATCTTAAATTTAAGATACATCCAAAGCTCTTGTCACAGAAATCTTTCTTATAGGAATCTCCTCTAATGTAACAAAGGCTGGACTTCAATAAACTATAGTGTTTATCACATTATTTGTCAAGGCAAAAACAAAAGAAAGCACAGGAATGTTCATTAATGAGGGAGACACTGAATAAAATCTGGAATAATCCTCTTATGGAAAACTAAATGTTTCCTAAAATGGATAAGTTAAGTCTCTCTCTCTCTTGACCCAGGGGACTGTTGATAATGCGTTGTCATGTGAGAAAGGCATAAAATGACAATAACAACTCTAAATGCCTTATATCAATGTTTATTTTTTAAATGTAAAAAGAGGTGGCTGGGCGCAGTGGCTCACACCTGTAATCCCAGCACTTTGGGAAGCTGAGGCGGGCAGATTACTTGAGGTTAGGAGTTCGAGACCAGCCTGGCCAACATGGTGAAACCCTGTCTCCATTAAAAACACAAAAAATATTCAGGCATGGCGGCAGGCATCTGTAATCCTAGCTACTAGGGAGGCTGAGGCAGAAGAATCGCTTGAACCCAGGGGGCAGAAGTTGCAGTGAGCCGAGATCATGCCACTGCACTCCAGCCTGGGTAACAGAGTAAAAGTCTCAAAAAAAAAAAAAAAAGATATAACTAGAAAGACACCAGACTGGTATATTATTTACTATTGTGGGGGATAGAAGTATGATTAACATTTTCTTTACATGGTTTTATATTATTTCACTGGTTTCAAGGATTGTGGTAGACACATGCCAATTTTGTAACTTGACAAAAGATTTCATCTGACAAAAAGATTTTTAAAAATAAAACAAGTAGACAAGTAAAACTATTATTTCTCTATTTGAAAACTGTGGTGTCAGATATTTTGGGAGCTGCACACACGTAAAGAGAACAGTATATTGTAGTGTTCTGCGCATAGTCAATTTGGGCGAGAGCTGGTGAGATAAAGTCCCCCTTGCACTTATTTCCCTGGTGGCTCACCTTTCTCTTACCCACTGAGGGTTAAGATAGATAGCTCTAACCAAACAGATTCATAGCAAATTTTTAACCTCTCTTCTTTCCACTGCATTCTGACTTTGAGTTATTGCTATACTTTTTAGAAATTAATAAAAGGACTAGACTTGGTGGGTTCATGACCCACGTTTGAGTTGAGTGTTCCAGTACTGTCTATGACCTTGGATAAGTAACTAC